CTGCCGTTAAGCGATATGTTCATTAAGTGCACTTTGCCCCGTGTTACGACCTTTCTCGCCACCCCCTCCCCTTGTGATAATTGCTGCTGATTAGGGAACAGCTAAGGAACAAGGGTCGGCTTGGGAGTAAAACCACAGGTGGACAATGAATGAGGAAGTAAAAGAGGAGTGACAGGGGAATGGAGTTTGCAGGAGACAATTAGTTCGCTTCATTGGTTCATGACTCTCCGAGGCTCCTTGCCAAGTTTTGCAGATATCGGCCTGGCTGCTCTCCAAGCCAGATAAGGTCTGTGACTGTAAATCCTCCCTTGAAAGACTTTGCTGGATGTGAATGAGCAGAATTCACAGCCAATCAATAAAAGGGTTTTTTGTCGGAACAAGGAGCTTGCTTCATGCTCTTGGGAAGCCTCGGTCAGAACATGCTCATTAGGTTTTGTCAATATTTTGTGTTTTTCAGGATCTCTTGAATTTTGATGATCCTTTAAATATTGAAGCTGCAGAACATCATTTACGTGACAAGGTGAGTAGCAGTGTATTGAAAATTACAATTCTACTGCTCCTTTCTTAAAAATTAGTTTGGTCATTTTCAAAAGGAAAATATGTATTGATACCTTGAAAGTATCTAAAATGGATCTGAGGTCAGATATAAAGGAGATATAGCCACCTGAAAGGTTATTGTACACCAAGAATATCAAGCCAACAGACAACATGTAACAGTTGTTACATGCTTATGCTTATGAATAAAATTATTGCTTAAAGGAATTTAAAAATTGTCCAATGGGAATTTCTATTTATTGAGTTGGCTTGAGTAGCTATGTTGAAGGAGATGTGGCTTTAAGACTTTGCAATTTTAGACTAATTTCTGCAGAATTGTCAGAATGACAATTAAGTAGCAATGTGCAACAAAAACACCAATATTTTTAGAGAACTAGAGCAAGCTGATTATCTGAAATGAGAATTAGAGCATTGTCTGAAATTAGGAGGGCCATGACAGTATTTTTTCACTTGTGTGAATCTAGATTGGGAGCCCCAAAGTCAAACTCAAAGTTGCCAATTGCAACAAGAATATTTATTTATTTATTATTTGTTTATTTGTTTGTTTATGAAAATTTATGTTGCTGTGTACTCGAACATGGTGACTCAAAGCAGCTTACATGGATATAAAAACACCATTTAAAAGAAATAAAAAATAAAATAACCACCCACCTTGGCAACAACACACATTCATACAAGCCATTTAATGGGCTCCATCCAGGTCTGGGTTCCCCACGCCCCCTGGCGGAATTGCGTCTTCAGCGCCTTTCGAAAGAGTGTTAAGAGTGGGAGCCAATCTAATCTCTGGGGGAATAACTTTCAGGAGAGAGGGAGCTACCACAGAGAAAGCCCTTCTATGTCCCACCAGGTGTACGCCCCTAAGGTGGGGGTCAGCAACGTGCAGCTCTAGAGCCCTCTTTGGGTCCCCTCCTGTGGTTACCTGTCAGATGATCCCACCACTGGGTGGCCCCGCTCCTCCCCCTCACTCCTCACTGCCCTGAGAAGGGAGACTGGCGGATGGAGACTCGCCCCGTATTCTAGAACGGGAGTGAAGCACCCCTCTACTTGCCTCGGGTGGAGAAAGACACGCAACTTTCTCCGCCCCGAGACACCAGCTGGGGCACATCTCCCCATATTCCTCTCGCCGTCTCCATGGCTGCTTGCTGCTTTTGCACTTACGCGTAGCGCACCCAAAGAAAAAGAAAGCACAATATCAGCAAAAAAACCACAACCCAACCCTCGCCTGTTTTTGGAAATGGTTCAAGAGGGAACACCCACACACACACACACACGAGAGAGAGAGATTTGGGGGGGGGGGGGAGAAAGAGAAAGATGAGAGAGACAGAGGGGGCTGCCTGCGGCAGTCGGGCAGCAAGAGAGAGAGAGAGAGAGAGAGAGAGAGTCAACTCCGTCTGCTCCCCTCAAGGCAACCTGGTGGCTCTGCTGTAACAGCCTCACTCCTTTTGCAATGCAAGATTTATTTTTGCATCTTTCCAGAGACAGAGAGAACGTGGCCAGATTTCCTTACAGTTATTCCCTGGGCCTGGGGGCTGAGGAGTGGAAGTGGGAGAGAAGGAGGAAGGAAGGGAAGGGGAGAGAGGAGAGAGAGAATGAGAATCTATACCCCCTAAAATCCTTGGCTTGTCTTATCTAATCCGCTGAGCTGCAGAACAAGAAGAAGCACAAGAAGACAAAAATCCTGGCAGGGATTTATAAAATCCGTAACACAACAATCCATGTCTTGCTATTTAT